TATAGTCTAGTCTATAGTCTAGTCTATAGTCTAGTCTATAGTCTAGTCTATAGTCTAGTCTATAGTCTAGTCTATAGTCTAGTCTATAGTCTAGTCTATAGTCTAGTCTATAGTCTAGTCTATAGTCTAGTCTATAGTCTAGTCTATAGTCTAGTCTATAGTCTAGTCTATAGTCTAGTCTATAGTCTAGTCTATAGTCTAGTCTAGTCTATAGTCTAGTCTATAGTCTAGTCTATAGTCTAGTCTATAGTCTAGTCTATAGTCTAGTCTATAGTCTAGTCTATAGTCTAGTCTATAGTCTAGTCTAGTCTAGTCTATAGTCTAGTCTATAGTCTAGTCTATAGTCTAGTCTATAGTCTAGTCTATAGTCTAGTCTATAGTCTAGTCTATAGTCTAGTCTATAGTCTAGTCTATAGTCTAGTCTATAGTCTAGTCTATAGTCTAGTCTATAGTCTAGTCTATAGTCTAGTCTATAGTCTAGTCTATAGTCTAGTCTATAGTCTAGTCTATAGTCTAGTCTATAGTCTAGTCTATAGTCTAGTCTATAGTCTAGTCTATAGTCTAGTCTATAGTCTAGTCTATAGTCTAGTCTATAGTCTAGTCTATAGTCTAGTCTATAGTCTAGTCTATAGTCTAGTCTATAGTCTAGTCTATAGTCTAGTCTATAGTCTAGTCTATAGTCTAGTCTATAGTCTAGTCTATAGTCTAGTCTATAGTCTAGTCTATAGTCTAGTCTATAGTCTAGTCTATAGTCTAGTCTATAGTCTAGTCTATAGTCTAGTCTATAGTCTAGTCTATAGTCTAGTCTATAGTCTAGTCTATAGTCTAGTCTATAGTCTAGTCTATAGTCTAGTCTATAGTCTAGTCTATAGTCTAGTCTATAGTCTAGTCTATAGTCTAGTCTATAGTCTAGTCTATAGTCTAGTCTATAGTCTAGTCTATAGTCTAGTCTATAGTCTAGTCTATAGTCTAGTCTATAGTCTAGTCTATAGTCTAGTCTATAGTCTAGTCTATAGTCTAGTCCAACGGTTCCCAAAAGGGGGTCCGCGGACCCCTAGTGGTCCGTAGCAAAATCCTAGGGGGTCCGCGAAGACGAACGAAAAAAATCATGAATAAAAAATATTCTCTATATGTTAAAAATATTAAAAATATCTCCAAATTTTTCATAAATACTAAAATACACAATTTTTATTCAATAATCCCAGATTTGTTGGTGACTCTTTGAATTTTATTGTTTCGGTCGTTTATCAGGATGAAGCTAGGCCCTACAAATTTATTGTTTCACTTTTATAAAGTAAAGTATTACGTGATTTGTAATTTTTATTAATATATATGTATCGAAATAAATGTTTTTATAGCAGACGGATAATGATTTGCCTTAGAATTAAATACTAATACTGGTATCCCGGAATATGAAGTTAGGTCACATTTCATAATATTTTTTTAAATTGCAAGCAAAAGTGTTAATCTAGTTAATTTTAAATATAAATATTCCATTCCAACGTGATACACAGATTTTAACTTCATTTTGTTGTCCAATATTATTAAATCAACATCAGAAAATTCATAGCGTTTTGCGTAAATAGTCAAAAAAAATAATTCGTAGGTATTTTAAAATTCAAATTTAAGATCCAAATTCACAGTACATTCGCAAAGAGTTCAGGTCATATTTTATGTGGGTAACGCATTCTGCAACAACATCGAAGTAGTCTAACTTTCACATATTTTCCCGAAAACTTAGCTTACATACTCAGCTCACTCCTATGCAATCGCAAAAAAATTTAGAAACATGACTCTTTAAGCACATGTTGACAATACTTGTTAAAGAAACCTTTTCTCTACCTTGACGAGAAATGAACATGAAAGCTCTCACGATCATAAAATTAAACATCATGTAAGAAGTCATTCTATATTTAAAACCATGAAATTGAAAACATCTCCGAAATACTAAATGTTCTCAATGTACGGGAATATTTTATAGGGTTTATGGACCAGGACTAAGACAATTTTCGGACGAACAATTACACAGTGATACAGCAAAAAAATGCAGGGGTTCTCATATACCAATTCCATTTCGTTATAGTCCATAGAGTAGGAATTTATTTTTAATTTTTCCCGATCACTTCGTTTAGTTCCTTTTTAAGAGCAAAAGTTGTGAAAAAGAGCTATTTTTGAAGTTTTAACTTTAAAAAAAATATATGTTTGGTAGTTTGCAACCGATTTTCAAATTGGATATTTTGTTTTAAAGATACAAGTGTTGTCTTTTAACCCAAAAAAATAAATCCAAAATTTATGATTAATGTCTTGGTTACGGCCATTTAAGTAAAAAAACTCACACTTTTTTTCACAATTTTTAATTTTCATACTGCTCTACGTTGGCCATGAAGCAGTAACTTTAGCTTTTATTACATTTGAAAAAAGGCACATTAAGTTGGGTTTCCAATGATGGTCAATTTATGATAATCGATGAAAAAGGTTATGAGTTGTGCTAAGTTTTATAAAAATATAGCATATTTCTTCCATACAAAAACGTTCATGTTTCTGGTTTTCTTTGTAACAAGTTTAAAAAATTTTTATAAACATTTTTATACAAAAATTAATTTGTATGGAGAAAACCAAAAATTCGAGAAACATGCTATTAGAAAAATTGGCATAAATCATCCAGTTTTTCATAGATTTTTATGAAATAACAAGTTTTAGAAACTTTCCTTTATGTGATTCTTCAGGAAAGTAATAAAAGATGAACTCACTCTGCCTCATGGTCAAAGTAGAGCATGATGAAAATGAAAATTTTTTAAAAAGTGTGAGTTTTTTTACTTAAACGACCGTAACTCAGACATTTGACCATAAATTTTGGATTTCTTTTTTTGGATTAAAAGACACTTGTATCATTAAAAAAAATATCGGATTTGAAAATCGGATGAAAACTACTAAACTTATGATTTTTCAAATTTAAAACTTCAAAAATGGCTCTTTTTCGCATCTTTTGCTCTTAAAAAGTAAGTTAACGAAGTGATAGGGGAAAACTAAATATATATTCGTACTCTATGGACTATAACGAAATAGAATTGGTATATGAGAACGCCTGCATTTTATTTTTCTTCACTTTTGTAACACAGTGTTATTTATAACAATAAGATATCAAAATATGTATGGGGGTCCGTGAAATTAAATAAATTCCTCAAGGGGTCCGCGAAGTAAAAAACGGTGGGAACCGCTGGTCTAGTCTATAGTCTAGTCTATAGTCTAGTCTATAGTCTAGTCTATAGTCTAGTCTCTAGTCTAGTCTATAGTTCTAGTTCTAGTTAGCTATCTCAGTCTATAGTCTAGTCTATAGTTCTAGTCCTAGTAGTCTAGTTCTCGTATTAGTCTAGTCTATAGTCTAGTTCTGTATAGTCTAGTTCTTAGTCTAGGTTCTATAGTCTGTCAGTCTAGTCTATCTAGTCTAGTCTATAGGTCTAGTCTAGTCTTAGTCTATAGTCTGTTATAGTCTAGTCTATAGTCTAGTCTATAGTCTAGGTCTATAGTCTAGTCTATAGTTCTAGTCTATAGTCTAGTCTATAGTCTAGTCTATAGTCTAGTCTATAGTCTAGTCTATAGTCTAGTCTCAAGCTATAGTCTAGTCTATAGTCTAGTCTATAGGTCTAGTCTATCGTCTAGTCTATCGTCTAGTCTATAGTCTAGTCTATAGTCTAGTCTATAGTCTAGTCTATAGTCTAGTCTATAGTCTAGTCTATAGTCTAGTCTATAGTCTAGTCTATAGTCTAGTCTATAGTCTAGTCTATAGTCTAGTCTATAGTCTAGTCTATAGTCTAGTCTATAGTCTAGTCTATAGTCTAGTCTATAGTCTAGTCTATAGTCTAGTCTATAGTCTAGTCTATAGTCTAGTCTATAGTCTAGTCTATAGTCTAGTCTATAGTCTAGTCTATAGTCTAGTCTATAGTCTAGTCTATAGTCTAGTCTATAGTCTAGTCTATAGTCTAGTCTATTAGTCTATAGTCTAGTCTATAGTCTAGTCTATAGTCTAGTCTATAGTCTAGTCTATAGTCTAGTCTATAGTCTAGTCTATAGTCTAGTCTATAGTCTAGTCTATAGTCTAGTCTATAGTCTAGTCTATAGTCTAGTCTATAGTCTAGTCTATAGTCTAGTCTATAGTCTAGTCTATAGTCTAGTCTATAGTCTAGTCTATAGTCTAGTCTATAGTCTAGTCTATAGTCTAGCTATAGTCTAGTCTATAGTCTAGTCTATAGTCTAGTCTATATTCTAGTCTATAGTCTAGTCTAGTGGAATTTTACAATATTTTGTGGGAAATATTATTAACCAAATGAGAATTATAACTACTTTTTGCAAAGATTTTTTAAAACATCCCTCGTACGATTAAAAAATCATATTTACAGGTAAACAAAATAATGCCTCTACACTAAAAAAAACTCCCTTAAAAGAATAAAAGGTTTCCCTATATAAAAATAGCAACTTTTATAAAACAAATATATATATAAAATTAAAAAGCTATTAATAGAAGTTGCTGTAAAAACTCTTTAGAAGCCAACAAAATAGTAATAAATTAAATTTACATGATTTCATCTATTTTCAATTTCTAATTATAAATTCGGGCGATTATTCATTTCAAGCATTTAAGACACATGTACATACATGAATATGAATGACCTACTTTTTAGTTAAAAAAAAAAAAAATTTAAGACTTTTTCTTTAATATTTTTGTGTTATTTTTTATTTTCACGTACAAGCATGGTGGTATAAATATTTTTAAAACAAACAACATAGAAATATGTGCGAATAAGTGAACAAAAACAAAATTTTAACACAAAATACATAAAGATACTTTTTTTCAAAAAAAAAAAAAAAAATGTAATAAACAGTTTTTATGTTCTGAAGAAAATTTTCATTATACTAAATTATTTTTTTCTTTTTTCATTTTTCATTTCATTACAGTTGTATTTGGCACAGTGAAAGTATTTTATTTTAATATAAAAATTAAAATTAAAGCAGCATAAAATAAGAAAACAAAATATTTATCTCAATGTTGAGCAAATTTTGAAAAAAATACATTTTAACAGTTTTTCACAATAAAAATCAAAAATTAAGCTAAAATTTTAAAGTAATTATTGCCAAGAAAATATAATCAAACATGGCTGACGATATATCATCTCCGATGCGTATGCAAAAGAAAACGAGAAGTGCTTCCATATGTGCCACCGGTGGAAGCATAGAAACCGTTATTTACAATATGCCCTCGGGCAATAATACACCAGATTCACAGGGTACACCCAACTATAGAAGACGTCGACCTGCCACCAGATCACAAAGTGCTCGTATAACAAATACGGCGGGTAGATCGGTAAGTTGTTTTATACATCAATATTACGAATTTATTTTATTTAAATCTTAATGATTTATATTTTTACAATTTTAATTATAATCTTGTAGTTATGTCAAAAGAGATATGTATGTATTTTCTACTAAATAGAGTGCGTAGATTTGCGTGTGCAAAAACATTTGTGATTTTCTACATTTCTATAACAATTTATGTAATTTATTCATATCAGTGTCAGTTTTAACTGTCACAATTTTATACAATGATTTTGGAATACTCAAACATATCAACATAGTTTACACATTCATATACATACATATGTATGTGCAAATATATATGTATGTATTTTTTGACATTTGTAGACACATGTTTTTAAGGGAAGTTTCATACTGAGAATGTTTACTTTTAACAAGTAAGAGTGTTATATTCGGCAATGCCGAATCTTATATACCCACCATCAAACCTCGTTTGACTCGAATGAAACTTACTTATGTCGAATTTCATCTATATACTCGTATTTTTAGGCCAGTTATAAGCGTTAAAGTAATTTTCTGAAGGGGACCTTATATTTCGGGGTAGGGTCAATTATGCGTCGATCCTCATAAAATTTGGTAGACAGAATTTGGTTCGTATTAAATTTATTTGTGTCGAATTTCATCGCTACACTCGTATTTTTAAGCCATTAATGAGCGTTGCAGTCATTTTCTGAAGGGCACCTTATATGGAGGGTAGGGTCAATCATGGACCGATCCTCATAAAATTTTTTAGATAGATTTTGCATAGTGATTTTGGATCATTAGAAACTTACTTATGTCGAATTTCATCGCTATATTCGTATTCATAAACAAGTTATAGCTGTTAAAGCTGCTTTTCGAGGGGCCACTTGTATGGGGGCTATCCGAAAACGTGGACCTATATTGCCCATTTCAACACAAAACAAACCTTACCTATAAGAAATATTTATGTGAAATTTCAATCCTCTAGCTCTTTCCATTCGGACTCTATCGTGCTTTCAACAGACAGACAGACGGACGGACAGACGGACAGACATGGCTAGATCGTCTTAGAATTTAATGAGGACCCAGAATATATATACTTTTGTGGATCTATGACCAATATTTCGATGTGTTACAAACGGAATGACAAAATCAATATACCCCCATCTTTTTTGATGATGGGTATAAAAACGTCGGGATTGTATGACCCAATAACCCTAATGCAATCCACTAACAACTGACAATTTGGTCATAATTGGCATATTTGACGTTCATTTCTGTTTTCCGGACGTTCATACGATATGATGGTTGTATAGTAGTACCCACTATACTCAACGAGGTTTTCTGTTTTCCTAAATTCGACTTTTTCTAAATGTTAATTTCTTTTAAAATTTAATAACCCGATTTCTTGTAGAATTTTTTCTAGAAATGTTTTTGCTTTAAAAATTTATTACAAACGGGTCAAAAGTAATAATTCCATATCCAGCTTTGACATACTTTTCGACTTTTGTATGCCTCCCGACCAGTGAAACTGTAGCTCAACTTTAGAATGTTAATATTTCGTATGTAGAAGAGTTATCATTTCACAAGCTGAAATGTATGAAGTGGATGTTCTTGCATCTCTCGGATCACTGCACTATATCCGCCCCTTTTTCGCTCTCTGAACTTCTCATTACTTAACAAACAGTTAAATCAACGAATTCTTTCGGCATTTCCATAGGAAACTTTATTGGCCTTCGAGCTAAGTTTATTACTGGTCTTACCTTTTAGTCGTCCCATCAAAGTGTTAAGCATAATACTAGTTCTTCAATTCTTGCTTGCCGAAAGCAATCAACTACTGACCTAGTTCAAAAGGATATCAATAACTATACCAAATATATTCTTTCAAACATATGCCGTTAAAAAGGTTTTATTGGATCTCAACCTAGGTTAGGTTATGTTTGCAGGTCGTCCTATCATCAGATGAGAACACTTGGGTCCATTGATCCTTTTGTGATATCTGAAATGAGAAAAGCGGTCAGCGTATTAGTACACTTCGACCTAAGTATTCTCGGTTCGTAAACTAAATCAGTTCGTCGCACTAATATTGGAGTCTATCTTTCGAATATCAACCTCTGATAGATCTTCGCATGATTGCAGGTGGCCACAATCGATCATCTTATATAGTTTTTCACGTATAGAGATTTTTCAGGTTGAGAGCGTTATGCCACACAATCGTCGGTGTGCTCTCTTGCTAGTGAGGTGTCCATCTTGGCAAGAGAGTCCGCAATGGTATTACCAAGTAAATATTTGTATCTCAACTTAAATAACTCTTCTGGAATGGATGGCATACTGGCACTGGTCTTGAAGCAGTGTTCTTCTATAATATGTGTCATTCTTATACATTCCTTTAGAGGCCAAACCCTTTAATTGCTTCAATAAGACATAAAATCGCTCAACCACACTTTATAACAATCTCTGTATGGTTCCCACGTAAATTATATATTCGATCCGGAATGACCCGAGTTATACTCGGCCAAAGAATAATAGAGTGTTGCAAGTGAACAAGTGTTGCAAGTGAACGGTGTATAAGTCATACTTATTCTATATGATCTCTTATCTTACCAAAAATTAAATTCAACTGTCATAAACAGGAGCTACCGCGTACAGGGAAAGGTAGTTTGTTGGTGACAGTAGGGTATCTAACTCTATTGGTTTATTGAACAGCCCGAACACTTTTAACTCACCCTACATCCAGTTCTTTTGATACCAACTCTTTCCCAACATATAGACAACTCTTCTTTTGGATCCTGTTGAGTCGGAAAAGGCAGCGGAAACTTATTTGAATATGCATCAGTCTTAAAACCAACATTCTGTTCCCGCTATTTGGGCTTAAACCACAGCTACTACATGTACTAAGAAATTACCTAGCAACAGACTCACGAAGTACTAGATAGGTATATTGGTTAACCTAAGAGAATAACACTTGATGTAGTTTGAGGTACTGATAGCAACTCTATTCCCCATTACTGCAATAACACCAAGCTGATATCGGTTCACCAATATAACATTCCCCAGCAGTTTCGGTCTCCATAATAATTACCTGGCGTTCATGACTTCAACTGTTTTATCCCGAAGCTAAAGTTGCGATATATAACCCAGACCTTTTCCATTCGTAATATTTTGTAGAAACATATCTCTATTTTAAGACTACGAAATACCTACAAACTCACCGGTAATAAAACCTATATTTCCCACTTTAAAGTTCATAATCTGGTATTAAGTAGAGTTCGAAATGTTTCGTCATGTCGTTTAGGGAATACCGTCGTTCTAAGACTTGGTTGGATATCATATAAACAACATTTAAAGCTAATGCGGTATCGGTGTAATTTCGAACATCAGCTTAGTATGCTCGACAAATCTTTAGTAAAATTGAGGTCGGCTTATTGGCAAACATTTAGGTCTATAAAACAAGTAAGAAATTACAGTCGGGCGTGGCCGACCATATGATACCCTACACCAGTTATGAATATTAAATGTGATTTATTTTTCATAATAAAGCATTTATCTTCAATATTCCCTTGTTCCGATACATTTAAGCAATTTATGGATGAAAAACTAATTTTCTGAAAGAGGCTTTATATGGGGGCTAGGGGCAAATATGGACCAAGCCCGATAAAATTTTGTGAATATATTTATATTGACATAATATTTTATTGTGCTGAATTTCATCGCGATATTTGTGTTTATAAGTTAATTTGGGACATTCAAGTAACTTTCTGAAGGGGACTTTGCATGGGAGCTAGGGTCAAATGTGGCCCGATCTTTATGAAATTTGGCAGGGTCATCAAGACTTCTATAAAACTTAGTTGTGCCGTATTTTATCGATATATCTGTATATTTAACATAATTATGAGCTCAGAAGCCCTTTTCGGGGGGTTCTGTTGTATGGGGGCTAGGTGAAATAATGGACCGATTTTAACCATTTTCAATAGGCTTCGTCCTTGGGTCAAATAAAACGTGCGTGCCAAATTTCATCCAATTATCTTGAAAATTGCGACCTGTACCTTGCGCACAAGGTTTACATGGACAGCCAGCCAGCCAGCCAGCCAGACGGACGGACGGACGGACATAGCTTAATCGACTCAGAAAACGATTCTAAGCCGATTGGTATACTTTAAGGTGGGTCTAGGACGAATATTTTTGTATGTTACAAACATCAGCACAAATCCAATATACCCTCCCTACTAAAGTGGTGTCGGGTATAATAAGGAATTGAACCGGACACTTTATGGAGGATTTATTCCATCTCATTCGGTTCATTCGAGCTCGACATAAAGAATTATTTAATAAAAAGAGATTTCGGAAATTAAGTATGAATGATGAAGGTATTGTGCGAGAATACCCCCGACTATTGAGTATAATCTTATATTTGATTTAACTCTATTTTATGTGCACTGAGTCTAATTGTAAAGATGAGAAAGAAAGAACCTATAGGTATCGAGTTCAGTTATTCAACATAGTTTTTCACCTGATCGGTGAATTGAGTCATTTAGTGTCCTAAGAACACTTTAATGCTTATGCATATACTTAATACAGATGCCTAATTACGACATTCGTATCGATCAAATAATATTCAGATGTTCACAGCATTTGGACAAAGACATAATTAGAGGTTGGCTTTAATTTGTCTTTCTCTCACGCTTTAATTTGTCTTTCTCTCACGGAGACAGTCGTCACCTTACCGTCCGCAAGTAATCTAGTAAACAGACGCTTAAAAAACTTGAACGAAAAGGTTTATTGCCATGTAATGACTCCTTTAAACTAGCTTTCTGACTATCACTTTGTAATTTATAAACTTACAATAGGACAAGCATATGTTAAAATAGCTATTTACCTCGGAAGTCGTGTCGCTAGGGATTGCCCCACCAAGCTGTGGGGTTTACATTGAAAAGTCTTATATAGTCCTAAAAAAATAACATATTTATGTGAAACCCCTTCATATTTTCTACATTCCTTATTTATTTACTTTGCACTAACAATACCCAT